GGGAACTCGGGGGGTGCCGGGGAGGGGGTGGGGTGGGGGTGGGGGAGGGGTCGCAGCCCCTCCTGACCCCCCCCGTGCCCCCCCCAGACGATTCTGCTGCAGGACAAGGAGCAGCGGCTGCTCTGTGTGACCTGCCAGGACCCCGGGGGGGGGCACGGTACGGCCGGGGGGGTGGAACTGGGGAATTTTGGGGGGGTGGGAATTTGAGGGGGGGGGGTCGGGAATTTTTGGGAAGGTTGGAATTGAAGGGATGGGAGGGATCTGAGGATGGTGGGGGAGGGGAAAAAACCTCAGGATTTGGGGACCTCCACGGGAGAGGGGGAGGGGTCCCCATCTCCTCCCCCCCCTTCACTCTCCTCTCTCCCCTCCCCCCAGCTCCTCCCCCCGCCCCCTCCCCCGCCGCCCCCCGCCCCGAGCACTGCGAGGGGGCGGCCGCGGCTTTTCGGGGGGCTCCCCCGGCTCCCCCCGAGCCCCCCGCGGGCGGCGGCGGGGCCGCGGTGGCGGCGGCGCGGGCGGCGGTGCTGCAGAAGCTGCTCTGGGCCGCGCAGGAACTGCCCAAAACCTCCTCGGCCGAGGGCAGCGCCCACCTCTGCCGCCTGGTTCGGGCCTGCGCCGATGCCCTGGGGGGGCTGCAGGCCCTGGAACCCCCCCGCGGGGCCGCCCAGCCCCCCCCGACACCGTGAGAGCCCCCCCGGGGGAGCCTCTCCCCTCCCCCACCCACATAAAGGCTGCCGTGCTGCCCCTCCCCCCACGTGTCTGGGTTTTATTGGGGGGCTCGGGGGGGTTTTGGGGGGCTCGGGCGGGGGGTTGGGTGCTGATGGATCGGGTGGGGGTGGGGCAGTGGAGCAGGAGATGGAGCAGGGGAGGATCGATGGATTGGGAGAGGATCAATGGATTGGATCAATGGATCAAGGGAGGATCAGTGGATTGGGGGAGAATCAATAGATTTGGGATCAGTGGATTGGATCAATGGATTGGGAGAGGAACGATGGATTGGGGAGGATCAATAGATCAGGAGAGGATCAATGGATCGTGACAAGGATCAATGGATTGGATCAATTGATCAGAGGAGAATCAATGGATTGGGAGAGGATCAATAGATTGGGGAGGGATCAATAGATGGGGGAGAATCAATAGATTTGGGATCAGTGGATTGGATCAATGGATTGGGAGAGGATCAATGGATCAGGTCAAGGATCAGTGGATCCCAGGGGAATCAATGATAGATCAATGGATCAGGGCCAGAATCAATGGATCAGGAGACGATCAATGGATTGAGAGAGGATCAATTGATCAGGGGAGGATCAATAGATCAGGACAAAGATCAATGGATCAGGTCAAGGATCAATACCCTGGGAATTCCCTCGGGAACAGCCCCGAGCCCTGGGAAGTTCCTGGCCAAAAATCAGAGCCCGGGATCAGTAAAAGCCTTGGACAGGAAAGGTTGGATGGGAAAAGGAATTCGATATAAAATAAATTTGAGATAAATTTGATATCAAAGGGATTTGATATAAAAGGGATTTGATATAAAAAGGGATTTGATATAAAAGGGATTTGACATAAAAAGGGATTTGATATTAAAGGGATTTGATATTAAAGGGATTTGATATAAAAAGGGATTTGATATAAAAGGGATTTGACATAAAAAGGGATTTGATATAAAAGGGATTTGATATAAAAAGGGATTTGATATAAAAAGGGATTTGATATTAAAGGGATTTTATATAAAAGCGTTGATTTGGTGACGAAATCGGGGCCGAATCAAACCCGAAACCTCAAAACGCCCCGATCCGACCCCAAAATCGCCCCCAAATGATCTCGGGGGTCTCCCCGGGGTGGGGGAGGGGCAGCACGGAGCCATTTGATGGCCGGGGGGGGTGGGGGAGGGGCGGCCCCTCCCCCCTCTCGGGTTTCCCTCGGGCGGGGCCGGGGGGGGGTCCCGGAGCTGTCGCGACCGATCGCGATCCCGGCGCTGTCTGGGGGGGGGAGGGGCTGTGCCGGGTTTTTTGGGACCCCTGGGGGGGGTTTCAGGTTTTGGGGGGTCCCGGGGGGGTCTCGGGGGGGTCCATGGGGAGCGTCTGGAAGCGGCTGCAGCGCGCGGGGAAACGCGCGGCCAAAATTTCTTTCGAGGCGACCCTGGAGGAGCTGCTGGTGGAGGGGGGGGGCAGCTGGTGAGTGACCCCCCCTCCCCCCCCCGGGACCCCTCCCCAAATCCATGGGATCCCCCCTGACCTCCCGGGACCCCAAATCCCAAATCCTTCGGCTTTTCCCCCAAATCCATGGGATTCCCCCCCCCCCCGAACCCCCCCAATCCCCTGAGGCCCCCCCCCCCCAAGAGTGGGGGAGGGACCCCAAAACCTCTCCGGGACACCCCCAAACCCCTGAGACCCCCCCCCAAAATCCCCACAGGACCCCCCCTCTAAAAAACTCGGAGTCCCTCGGGCACCCCAAACCGCCCCGGGACATCCCCGGACCCCTCAGAGCCCCCCAAAACCGCCCCGGGACCCCTCAAATCAATGAGACCCCCCCCAGACCCCCAAAATCTCTGCAACCCCC